ATATATATACATATATATATCTATAATCATCTCGTTTTAAGTACAAAAATTTTTGAGGATTTTAAGCAACGCGAACAAACCTAATGTTACGTATTGATTGCAGCGTGAATGCATTTTGTACAAAAGTACTGTACAAAAACTGTAGAAAAGAGAAGAAATAAACGAATTATTTGTATGAGAAAAATGCCGAATACATAGTCGTTCCTGAAGATTCACAATCACTTTATCACCGAATTTCACGAGAAATAATAAAACAAAGTTTCGCGCTTTCGTTCTGTCGTACTAAAGAATATACAGGGTAATTCAATAAACATTATTTACAAAGCTTATTTGTCGTTGAATAACCTCGTAACGCTTACAATTAGTATTTCAGTTTTATGTTGACTACACTTTACTCCATTTCTTGATCTTCAGTATGAAGATAAAGGCGTCTCGCTTTCCCTAATTCTCTTCACTATTCTAGGACACAACGAACTATAGACAACACTTGACATCATACAAAATGGTTGCGTTCAACAGACTAAAGGTGCATTCACATGCAAGCGACAGACGTCAAGCAGTGGAAACAGCAACCAATCAGCTGGGCGATACGAGTAGTGGTATAAGACTGGAATCAGACTATGCATTGAAGATTGAGATTAAAGGTTAAAGATTGAAATTTTACCAATGAGAAAAAGAAGTTTTAGCTCCTTTTGTTCTGATTGGTCAAACTTCAATCTTTCACTCTTTAACCTTATTCTTCAATGTGTAGTCTAATATCGGCCTAAAAAAGATTCTACGCTGCCTGGCTTTTTTGTTTTGATTATACATTTTGTTTTTATTTTATTTACTCTCCTAAACTGGCGCCCTTTCTTTGCGAAGGTGTGTGCGGAACACATTAGATCCTGGCTGTGTCGTTATTTGAAACTATGTTTTCATTTGAAATTTTATATTTTTATTAAACAAATTGTATTTCTTTATAATTATATTATTTCTTTATGATATTACAACATTTCCTAATGATTATAGACTACGTTCCAAAACTTCCTCTCCGAGGAAGATTTTAGTCTGTACGCTATAGTACGCGTCACGTGTACTATATATTTCGAGTAAAATTTACCTCGGAGAGGAAGTTTTGGAACGTAGTCATAATATGAAATACATCAATAAAGAATGTTTTTGTGTTATTTCATGTCTACAAGTTTTTCAAGAAGCGAGCTATTTCCTTACATTGTGATTCGTGCTGTCATAGTGAGGGCAAGCTAACATGAGCTAATCGAAAATATATGGATCGATATTCAGACTGTTTTTCTAAGGACTTTCTACGTCTTTGCAAATAACGCCATTTTTTAAATACTTTTTCTAGTACTTTTTAGTATTTCTGCGATAATGGCCTAGTTTCCACTGAGGATTTAAACTGGATCAGAATATGAGAACCAACCAACTACAGTCGAGTATTCCTCTGTTACAGTCGAACAACAGGGAAATACTCGACTGTAGTTGGTTGATTCTTATATTCCGGATTAAACATAAATTGGTTCAGGTGCAGCCGCAATAGAAATAATAAGGAATTAGGAATAAAGAATATAGCTTTCAACCTATCAGATATTGGATACACTGGAATACACGGTTTCTGATGGAGGTTGAAAGCTTTATTTCTAATTCCTTCTATTGTGGTTGCACCTTTACGCTTCTCTGATAAATCTACTAATCTAGGACTCTACTCTTCTCAAGTATATGTACCATCGAAAGAAACCATCATCAGTAGATAAAGTAAATTGCTTTAAAACCGCGAGTCTATAAAGTAGATACAAATCATTTCACGATTTCCCAACACTTAACAGTGACGTCACTGTCGCTGTAACATTTCTGATTTCGCTCAATTCGCTCAATTCGCTCGCAGCTCGTAGCGTGAACAAGCTAGTGCGGATTCGCAGAGTGCGGACTGTGGTGTGTTACGACGGCCGGTCTATTTATTAGTCGGTCATTTTGGGAGTGGATTCTGTGGAATCTGGTGGAAGATCGTTCAAGATTGTTGAAGATCATCTGTGATACTAATTGAAAACTGAAAAGGGGTGATTTGTGTCGAAGTTCGGCGCGGTATATAATGTCAATCAGAATGTTAATAATGGCGCGGGGAGCGTGGTTGTATTGGTAGTTGCTAGGCAGCGAGGCCAGCCACTGCCAGTAGTGCCAGTTCTGATTGCGGCGCGCGCGCGCGCGCCAATTTCCCCGCGGTGGTGGTCGTGCGGGTTGTGCCCATGCCCATAGTCGTCCTCGTCGTGCTTGCGGTGTTGAGTCGAGTGTCAGTGTTGAGAGCAGTTGCAGTTGAGGAGGATGCGACGAGATTGCCGATCTGGTCCACACGCGACGATACGACGTTCCGTCGTGTGACGCCAATCGAAAACCGACGGGATCATCGTCGCTAACGTTGAGGAGGGAATTTGGGAGGAAGGATCTTGCGGGACGGAGACACGCCAGAGCTAAGATGAGATAACAGATGCAGAATGAGACGCAGCAGCAGCGGTAACCTATTCAGTTACGCGGTCCTCACCTTCACCCTCACTCGCCTCAAGGGTAAGTTCATTTGCCATGGAACGCGCGTGTCGCGTCTTTTATTTTTATAGCACCATCGATTACTCGAGGGTGCTACCACCACCACCACTACCACCACCACCGCTGCCGCTGCCGCATATTGTGCCCCGCGTGTGTCTCGCGCTTCAAAGTCGAATGCTTAAGAGCTGTCAGGAAAAATGGGGCAGCTTCTATATAACGTCCGCACGCATACAACTTGGCGTGTGTAACTCGCCAAATGCATGTGTGATATTTTCTCGGATATATACTGGGCTTACATTTAATTTTATTTAATTAAGTCCAATTGAATCCAGATTAAATTGTATAGAATGTGACGCGAGGTAAAAGTAATCTTTCAATTAAAAAAAAAAAAAATAGAGTAAAACTAGCAATTTATGTAGTAAATTATAATTTCATTTGTATAATTAGCAAAATATTCAGAGATTTAGAAAAAAAGGAGAGTAGCGTAAGAAATATGTATAATATAATTAATAAGTAAATAATCTTGTTAGGAAACTGCTAATTTTTGCTGCTTACGTTTTATTTCTTTTTTCTCTCTTTTGATGATAACAAGTGTGGTTTAATATTTGTAGTACATGCGGAAGGTGGAGTTGCTTGTAAAGATCAACATGGACACTCTTATGAAAGCGGCTATCATTATATTCCTGGACCTGAACCATGTACCTTCTGTGTTTGTGATAATGGCAATCCAAAATGGTGTAAAGCATTCATTTGTAAATTTCTCGAGGTACGTATATAATATCAACAGTCCAATAATTAAATAAACCTATTAGAATATGTAGTAATTATTATTCCAGCTTCAGTTTAACCTTTAAGTAGGTAATTGGGATGTTTAGAACATCCCAAATAGATTTTATTTATATTATTATAAGATAGAGGATTGTAAAAATAATTAATTTTAAGAATTCTGGATAATTATATTTATTTTCCTTTTCCAGAACAATGTTTTACGTAGAGTACAATAATTATCTACCTACTTAAAAGTTAACAGGCTGACTGTTTCAAGACTGATAGTAATTGGCATGTAGCTTGTAGAATTGAGTAAACTTTGGGGTAAACTTTAGATTAGCCACTTCTTCTCTGAACTCTGAAACTTGGTTCGTATTTTTCATCGCTGAATACGAATCTGAAAGAATTTTTTATTAATCAAACATTCAGGTCGCCATCTTGAAAAGTATATAAAAAAAAGTAGGAAACAATGCTTATACCGGTCAAAGCTGGATCTTAAATGTTTTAAATGATTCCATACAAATTCATGTACCACATTTGTAGTCTCTCGCGCGCCAAATTAGTTTTTCGAACTTAACTGAACTACTACAGTAATGCCACAAATTAAATTGGCATTCATTTTAATATTTTGACACTTAATTGGCTTAATTTTTAAGGAGATTTTAATGTACTATGTAAAAAATCTGTAAATATTGCAAATAATATTACCTTGGCTGGAAAATATATGGAGAAAATAAGGTTTTAAAGAGATCAGAAAGGGGATAGCTAATCTAAAAGTTTACCGAATAACTACTCTCCAAAATTAAAAATGAATGAGTGACTTTGATGCCACTAAAAGTAAAAATCAGTGTATTACTGAAAAACAGTAAATATTCGCTGATGATTAAAAGTATAGCACTTAAGTTAGGAATAATACTACTTTTAAAAAGTAACGAAACTGCTTGTAACTGGTAGTAAGGTAAAGAAAAGTAGTTTAAAGATTTATATAATAGACTTACTTTTTGTATAATAGGAGAATTGCAAGTCTTTCCGGCGAGGTAACACTTGCTGCGAGTTTATTTGCCTGGACGACACATTGTCGTCAATATCTAACGACAAAGCTGACGAAGCGGAGACTAATGCGATAGATGGAAACGCAAATTATGACATAGGTCTACGATCGGTTGCCAGTTTTGTAACAGCAATATTTTCACTAAGTTTGTTATTTTTTCTGATACATCGTCTACGCCAACGTAAGATACAAGGTAATATGATGCTTCCATCATTACATAGGCTATTTTAAATCTATGACGACAGATTTTTAGAAATTCCTGTAAGAAATAATGATGCTTGTATCACTATACAATTAGAATACAAATACACACAATACGATTCATAATTTCTGAAACAAAACTCGTATAAATAAAGAATATATATAAATATTTTGAACATTTGATATTTAAAAAAGAATTCTTTACGATTAATACTCTCCTCTGGGAGATTTTCAATTTTTAATGAGGCCTTTTATTTCCCTCTTTGATTGATCACAGATTATCGTGGTTTGAATTTAGAGTAGATAATATTTTACCTACTCAACTCATCTGACTTGTAGTTTTCCCGATAGGCGGTATTCATTAATTCAAAGTTGGACCTTATATTTAGGATAAGGTGACCAAATATGGCATGGCAGACAGTGCGCATTGATATATCATGTCAGACGTTCCGGGTACGATTCTAATAGGAAATATTTACAAAATATTGATATATATATCATGTATCTTCTAGAAAAAGCCGGCAATCTCCCGAGAGTATTCTTGCCCACAGAAATACCGCTTAAAAAATCCATCATTTGGAAGCGGTATTAAAACTGTAGGTCTCATATGCTTATAGCAATTGATTAATCAGTGTGTGTGCACCACGCGAGCATATGAGAGAGGTGTAACCACAGACTTCTATATATACTATCTACTATACTGCTAACTCTTTAGGACAAGCTTATGTGAAATGTTACGATGGTTCTGTGTCACAAATTAATCCGAAGGAATGTAATATGGCAGTGTCCCGCAATGTTCTGCATCAGATGTACATACACGTGCTCTTAATGCTGTACATAAATATAATCTTAATTTCATGAAAAATTGTGGTTTTTTTTTCGAAAGTTTAAGAAAAAAGTTAAAGATAATTGAATATTAGTAGACGTGTAGAAAAGATGTCTATTCAATTCTTTCTAGAATTGTAAAGGAATTAAAAAACCATTAACAACTCACATAGTTATTGTGCAAAATTTAATTTATTTATAAATTATATAATACAAATGTTTCAACTTTTTTGGGTCTTCAGTACAATAAAATATAAATAGTTTTAATACTGTTAAATTAGGTCAAAATATACCTGTCAAAATATGTATGTGTGTGATGTGTGCGCATGTACGTCACACGGTCACGCGGAATAGTTTTCGACGCATGCGTATAATGCTACGTCAAAATTGGGAGTTACTCTTTCAAACGAGTTAGCAGTCTAGTAGTATATATGTATAAGATGTCACAGAATAACCGCCAAATATTTTGTGCTGATAGAGCAAATTAAACTGAATCGAAAAGTCCTCTACTATTTTGTAATTTTCCCAATAGTTAACAAGATATTAATTACTAAAAATCACTGAATATTGGTTTTCAATAATTTTTTACTCAAGTACTATATCAACTTTGCAGAAAAACAGCAAATGGCAAAAACACTTGTTTGATTTCTTCTCATAGAGCTCTAAGAATTGTTTCCAAGTTTTTATCAACTTTTTAGTACTACATTTTCTTATTGGCAACTATTTTTATCAACATGAGAAAATAAATATTAAAGAATTCTGAAAAAATTCTGAGAACTCTAAGAGAAGAAAATAAATCATTTTTGTCACTTGCTGTTTTTCCCTAAAGTTCTATTCTATTGTGTTTGCGATGTTACGTGTCAACTGACACATCACTACATACTACTACATCAATAGCATATGTATACATAAATTTTTGCATAACAATAACGTTTTAATTAGACGTCTAAGTCCAGTTCTAAGAATTCCACGTTGTTTCTTTCTACAAACTACTAGTTCGTATACTACTATTTTGTAAGTATAGATCGAACAGCTTTTATATGAAGCAGATGTTGTCACGATTGATGCCTGTAGAGCGCCATGTTGAACTAAGAAATGATAAAGATCTCAATTTTGAAATTTTTTAAAAGTTCTCGGCACTTTACCTCACAGATACGTAAGGCGTACTTTAATCCTGGAAAAGAATTTTTGAACCTATAAAAAAGGGAAAAAGTTATACAAAAATTATATGTATTTAGTCGGTACAGACGGTACAACAAAAAATTACATCAAGTTACGAGATCACATTTATTTATTGAAATTGGGCTTTTCTATTGAGTGCATTTTATGAATAATATCTGGATTTTTAGATAAAAAAAAATCATAAAATCCTCCACATATTAGTTGAAAATTATATATGTATAATTGGATTTCACTTATTATTTTTATTTATTATTCCACATTTATTATTTTTATATTTAAGAGGGACAATTTATATTCGTATCCTTAATTTGGGACAAAATTTGGGACGCGTAAAGTAGGCTGAAGAGTTAAAATTTGTGTCCTTCCTAATTTGGAACGATTGAGATTTGGTCATTGAGATTTAAGACCATCTTAAGTATAGTCTTAAGATTTCATGAATCAATCAGAAAGCCGTTTTTCTTTATTAATGTCTTAATCCTCGAAAGGTGAATCGTTTTCGACGGACGAGGGAGACGAATGTCATTTTGATTCATAACAGAATTTCTATTGCAAACTAGTTTTGGGAAGGAATTATATATAAAAACGCATTTTGTGTGTGAACGACATATACTTTATCTCTTTTTAGTACATACTTTTTCTGTACACTTGATACATGAAATAAGTATATGTATGATTCTTACAAATAAATTTATTATCATTCTTGTACTGTATTTCATATTATTACCGTCGCAAATAATAACATCGTGATCGTTTTTCATTAACTGCATTCCGAGCTGTCTTATCGCTCATGAAAGTGATTCTGCATTCGTCGTACGAGGGTTAAAACATTACTCAAGATGGTCTTAAAATAAGAACCGACTACGAATACCGACCAGAGAGTTATATTAGCATTTTAAGACATTATTTAAGTCGTAAAATAAAAATCAATACCGTCCTATCTCTTTGATATTAGAGTTGTAGTTAATAAATCAAAGATTTGATATTCCAGAAATTTAAGCTGCTATAGTGGCTATTAAATATATATGACGATTAAATGAAGATGATTATAAAAGAAGAGTATTTAACAGCGATTGAAAATAAAAGCAGAACGTAATTGTAAAGGATTCTATATACTTTTAAATACTCGTAAAACTTATCTAATGTGTTCTTTATATAATTTTTCTTAAAACTTATACACTGCAGTGTGTAGTTAATAGCGTTTCATTGGCAGAATTAGTGCGTACTCAGTGCACTTTAAACCCGCTGTACACAAATCGATGTAAAGATGCATATTTAATAAAAATATACTTGTATATTTTTATGTAAGACACATCAAAATGTGTCTTGAGTGCGCATCAGTTTTGCTACTGAAAAACGGTATAAGTATGAAAGTTTTTTTCACAAATATGACAATGTAAAAACGTATATATGTTGTGTATTAGTTTGTGTGGCAGGTCGAGAAAACAGACAACTTGGAGAGGACCAAAGAAATTTAGGTAATATGGGATACTTGGAGAGAGGCGGATTACCTCACGGGGTTCCCATGGACGACATACCTTGTGGAACAGGTTACTCATTATGGAAACCACCTGGCAGTAATTACTTTCCGCGTGGTGAAGCACCTCCGCCTTATGAGGAAGCGATCGCGGCTGCGAGAGCGGAACAGGCATTATTATCAATTAATCCGCACGCGTTGTTGTCAATGAACTTCTCGGACAATTACATGCCAAATTCTAACAATCATGCGAGCGTGGCGGTTGTCACGGACACACAAAATGATTTGACCGCAAACACACAGGCGTCATCTAATGATAGCAACATACACACGCCCTTGATGTCTTCGTCAAATAGACTGCTGTCTAGTCCCAGCGCATATGCTGGTGGTTATCGACCAATAAGTCAAAGCAGCGCATCGTCCACCATTGGTCTGAATACGAGCACTTCCACCGCGAGTTTCACAATAGGAACAAACACGTACGAGAATCTACCGGTCTCGTCCATTGCTATGACGAGTTTTAACGATAGTCAACATTCCGCAGTGACAAGCACTAGTACGCAGCCACTACTACCGATATCGCATTCCACTATACCTAAGAATTATCGCCAGCACACAACGATGTTTCCGCGGCAGAGCGGCGGCGATGGCGATAGCGGCGGTGCGTTTACAATATCGGCGACTTTGTCGAATTCCGATGTATCCTCCCATCGTACGATTCCGCGAACATTGACGTGTGTCGCTAGCAGAGTAAAGGATGTTTTGACTGATTGCTCAGCGAGGGACTATCTCCGTTTGTCGCCGAGCAGCATTGCGACGCCTCAAAGCCTGTCACGTCCTATACAGCTGTCAGCAGCCGCAGTCACGGCTCCGGGCAATTACAAAAGTACCAAAAACTCGGACCCATTTTACACGGATGCTCCTGTAGCGTCCAGTTTAGCGCAATCGGAAACGTATACCGCAGATACGGCAAATGTATCCGAGAGGACTCGGGAATACACGGTATAAAAATATACAATTTATCGTCATATAAATTGTATTTACGTTACTAATTTATCATGTAATTTATTGTGTAAAGACATATACGTTACTAATTGTCATACTTTCCTTCTCTAACGCAGCCTTCGCTAAGCATAGCTAACGAAATCAATGTAAGTGGCAGCTTCGAGTCGGTGACGTGTACCTGCAGTATACAAGCGTTACCCACTCTGCACGATGACACGGACGATTATCGAAGCGAGTGCGAGAACTGTAAGAGCGCGACGGGTTCTCGTTACTACTTAGATAACGAAGATGAACTCGTTACATCACTTCACGAAACCATGACGTTGCACAGAAGACCGGACGAAGCAACATCAAGTGCTACACCACAGTATTATAGAACTTCACTTACACTGCCGACGAGTACACGCCAACGTACAAGGTAGACATCCTATCAATCTAATATTTTTAGAATCATTACAGCTATAAAAAAACTTCTTTTTACATTTATATTTTTGTCAAGCATAAAAATATACTCTATTCAACGAAAAATAAAGAATATTTTCAAAATACTCAAAATTGCACAATTTTCAGACCATTGAAATTTAACTTACTGTTGTGTAAAAAATTATCGCAGAGAAATAATTGAAATAACATTTTGAAGTTTGGGATTTGTATTTTAGCATGCGTTTAGCCATTTTTTGAAAACTATTTTCACAGTTTTGTATCTTAAAGATTATCGTTTTGTTTTTTTAAATTATACTCAACACTGTGCAGCTTGATAAAAAGATTTTTCTTTAAAAAAAAATTAAGACATTTACACAAAAAAGTACATAGTTTTCTCTACAAATTCCTTTTTTAAATTTTTTCTTACGACTTTTTTTAAACCGAACTAGGCAACTTTGAACTTGCATTTTATACAATCGAAACTTGGCTAAAAATCATCGCAGACAAAAAAAAAATTAAAAGAGCATTTTAATTTTTACTCGAAATTTATTTCTTTAACTTTATTTTTTGTTTTGAAAAATTTTTTGTCTGCAATAAGTTTTCACCGAGTTTCAGCGGTCTGAAAATTGCGCAATTTGGAGCGTTCCTTATTTTTTATAAGTAATGTATTTGTTGATGGTTTATCACAAATAAAAAATTTTAGTAGATGAATCTTTAAAGTGTCTTTATATCTAGGATTACCGGAGCTCGTGAAAATTGGTTCAATACCATGCCAGAAAGTTCTAGCGGTTCTTCGGACGAAAATTAAGTATTTCGAAAAAAAAAATAGAGGAAAATGTTCAAGTGCGCAAACAAAATTATACATGCACACACGAAATATACACAAACACGTACAGTATGTATATAACTATTTAAAAAAGTTGTACCTATACAGAGTGTCCTAGAATTATCAGTTGGTTGGTTAATTGTTTTTGCGCTATGTTTTAGTTCAAGATCAAAATAGCCAGACTTGTTATATTTAACATAATGTAAGGATAGTTTTGTTTAAAAAATTTTTTTATTTGTTTTGCTGATTTTATAATGAGTCGGCAGTTTGTAGTTCTAGAAGTTGGCTACTGGCAACTTCACCGATTCATCGATTTCAATCAATCACGATTCACCGACTATCCTTTGAGACTGTATCAGACTACCGATTCTCCCGACTCTGACTGTCGATTCCAGTTGATCGATCACATTTGTCGATGCCATCGATGCCGATGATTGCCACCGATTGACTGAACTGTATAGAAGAATAAAATTAATAAAACGCGAGAGTATCGCAAATCTCAGACGAATTATGTCGAAATATAATACCTAGGCTGAAAATCGTGATACTGGCTAAAGTTCCACGTTTTAAAATAATCCGGCTGACAGATTCGTAGAACTGAAGTCTTTCTCGAACTTCACTTATTAATAATATTTTCGTATCGCGACGCCAATTTCTTTTTTGATGCCATCTTTCCCAACTGTTTTTTCTATGGATATTTACGAACTATCTTTTCTTATACAATCGTCAAACTATCACGTGATTAAATCTTGTATTTCTATTGGTTATGATTTTGAGTCGCTGACGATGCTAACTCTAAAAATAGACTCGAATCTAAACGCGAGTTGGCCGATCCAGACAGTCGGTGTCTCAGTATGATTGGTTTGCTGAGGATCAGCTTGCAGAGTCGATAGTCTGATAGACTTTAGACTCGCTTCCAACTCACCGATTACAAACTATCGACTCATTGTAGAATTAACATTTGATATGATGGCTTAAATCTAAGCCATCTATCTAATATTTAAAATTTTTAGCTTCTTTACTCTTTCCATACAATATTTAAATGCCTATAAGTTTTTGGGACATCCTCTATAGTGTACGTCGTAATGATTATCATCGTACATGATTATCATCATAATCATCACTATTATTGTCGTCATTATCATTAGATAGCGGAAGCGCGTGAGGATTTACTGCAGTAAGCAGAGCAAATCCTTGCCTGAGATACATTAAGGGGATTCTAAAGTGAAGCCCGATTCCGACAAGATCGCTATTTTACCGATAAAATACGACACATCGACATATCTTTATATATTACTACATCAATATCTCACGCACACATAAATTTTCGTAGAACAATAGTGTTTTAATTAGATGTCTAAGTCTAAGAATTCCGCGTTGTTTGTTCGTGTAAACTACTAGTCTGTGGACCACAATTCCATAAGTACAAATTGCAAAGCTTTTATCATCAAGCAAATGTTACGATATTAACAGCTTTGACGCCATATTGGACTAAGCAATGGTAAAGATTTCAATTTAAACAATTTTTTTCGTTCTTAACATAAACTTAAAATAATCCACCTTGCAGACACATATTAAGGCGTATATTTTAATCTTGGAAAAGAATTTTTAAATCTGTAAAAGAAGGAAAAAGTAATTATACAAAAATTAGTGCGTGTAGTCGATAATACTGATAACTTTAGAATCCCCTTGAGATGGATCAGTGAGAAATTTCGTAGTGAAATATCACGATCCTTCACATCAAATATGAACGACCATTATTACTGTCATAATCATCGTCGCATCTATCATAACAATAACTTTCCGAATTTATTTTATCTGCCAAATAAAAAATATACATGTCACGCGCACGCGCAAAGGGTTATACAGATTTTAATGATAGATCTTTATTGTGTAAAAAGTAGAATAAATTCATATCTGTATATGTATATGATATTAGAATAATTATAAAAATATAACGAGTCATGAAACTCTTTCTTTCATGAAATATCTAAAAAAAAAAAGTACGAGAATTTTATTACAGTCCTTGGTCATATTAGACGCACGAATAGATTCATCTTGAATAATCGAAAATGGTAGCTATTTTTATTTTTCATATCTAAAGTACTATTTTATTTGGACATTCTCAATAAAACACAATTTTATTAGTATTAAAATATTTATTTATTTTTGTAAAAATATATGTATGTTTTTTAAGTATCTTGTCAAATCAATAAAAAAAGAGCTTACGCGAATATTGATGCGCAATGTTGATCTATTAAAAGGACATTTAATTAACAAATTAAAAATAGCAAACGTTTCAAATTTTTGGTTCTCCTTAGTGCTATAATTCACATTATAACAATACTAATTAACGCACTTTTTAATTTTATCTTGTGAAACCACTATTCGAAGCTATTAGTTTTAATTACATGAGCGGCGACTCCAATATGTATTGGTGTATTTGTGGTATGGTTGGTACTGTGGTACAGTGTACTCCATACACTGAATGATTCTCAATGTATGAAATTCCATACACTGAATTTCATATCTGTATGATATTTGGTCGGGAAATTTAGAAATTAGAAATTGTAATTTAGAAATTACAAATATACAAAAAATGCCACTGCATTGCTCAAAGGATGTAGTGCAATTTTTACATGACAATCACGAGATCAGAGATTTTGTACCAGAATGCGTAAAATTTATTCACGTTCCTTTAACGATTCCTACATTAACTTGTTCGAATGAAAGATCATTTTCTTATTTAAGACATTTAAAAAATTATCTTCGATCGACAATGAGACAAAAACGTTTAAATCATATTGTGACATTGTACATTTATTGAGAAATGGTTGATAAATTAAATATGGAGGAGTTCATTAATAATTTTATTAAAAAAAATAAAATTAGAGCGACTACTTTTGTCATGTAGAAAAGATATGTGTGAGGAAATATCTGTATCTTCTTCGCCTCCTCTCCTCTCCCCCAAACTATCTTCGGGAACTCCATACACTGAAAAATTTTACTTCGCCGCCCCTGTAATTATTTATAATAGTAATGTCCTATATGTAATGTTTAAATTAAAGTTCTCTATACAAATAAGTAAAAGGAAATTTCTATAATAGAAATAAAAATATTTGCCCTTTTTTTAATGTTACCTCTATGAATTGCTAACAGGTTTATAGATAGTTTTTAGGCTCTGCGTACAATAGAGAAAATATTAGGAATAAGAATAAATATTAAGATTTTAACTTATCAAAAACCACTTATATGGTTTTTGATAGGTTGAAATCTTAATATTTATTTCTATTTCTAATATTTCTTCTATGTGCAGGATTTTATGCATTTGTAAGTATCAAGTAAGTTATAATAAATGTACCTACTTTATAGATAATTATTTTCTTTACATATTTTTGTCAATTACAATAATGATAGATGGATCATAAATCATAATATAATATAAGTTTAATTCTTGGAAGTCAATTAATTGTAAAAAAATATGCGTAATAATATAACCAAGGACTATATAATAAATTATGATCATATGTTTGATGATATATAAGTTGCCTATGGTTGTCTATACTGAATATTAAGGGACTGCAAATGAAAGGAACAGGGAACAGAATAAGATCTATTTTAATCTATTTGAAATCATGTATTGTGGAATACACAGTTTCTGATAGATTGAAATTCTTGAGGCCGGAGCATAGATCTTTGCATAACGCATAATGCATAAAGCATAAGAAATTAATTAATTAGAGTTTTATTTTACGGAAAAGAAGGAAATGAAAGACTTCATTCGATTTATTTTCTTACACATTATATAAGACTCTTATGTTTCCGTCCTTATTCTTTGTTCACTGTTCCCTATTTCTTGATTGTGCGCATTGTGCGTAGCTCCTAAATCTCGAAACGTAATAGGTGTAGTAAGCTTTAAGTCTTAAGGAATTAATCAATCACAGATTAGATCAATTTCTTAAAGCTTTAAGGTTTTCTACACCTATTGCGTTTCAAGCCTAAGCCCAAGATGACCGTTACTGAATCGTGAAATGTAAGTTGTAGATCAACATACAATGGCTGCGTTCAGCAGATTCAACAGTTGAGTGAGCGCTCGTTGCTATTAATGTATTCTTCTAAGATCTAAAATTCTGATTGGATTTAAAAAAATATAGTGAACGCTCATTCAATTGTTGAATCTGCTGAATGCAGCCAATGTTTTGGCATCACTATGGCTGTGTCCCAAAATTTACTAAAAATCTATAGTTTATGTTATATGTTATATTTAATATGGCTGTAAATTTTGGAACACAGATTACAATTTATGTATACCATTAGCATACGTATATAATTACGTCAAAACATTGGGTGCATTTAATATTACAATCGCTCACTAAGGGTGCGTTTCACTTGCCGCTCACATCGCTCGCAAATATTATTAGTCCTTGCTTAATATTTGATAAATTTCATTAGATCTAAAAAAAATGTAGACCAAACATGTGCAAAAGTTCACTGAACGTTTAGTGAGCGGTAATTGTACTGAATGCATCCATTACGTTGATTTATGACTACAACTTGCGTTCCTCGACTTAGTAATGGACATCTTGTGCTCAGGTCCTAAGGCTCCTGATTAGTCACCATTGACTATATTGGATCATGATATCATAAGCAAAAAGTGACACGTTAAAGTTTTTTGCCTTTTTTAAATAAAGAAAATTCGAATAAAATAAAATAATAGGATTGCTTTAAAGCAATCCTATTATAAAAATGAGCCGAAACTATTTTTATCCCCAGCTATCTTTAGTCTTTATCCCTCACCTCCTTCTTTACAGTTAGTAAATAATCGTAAAAGACACGTGAAGTGAAAATAGGTCTATTATGCACTTCACGTGCCTATACTGATTACGCCTATTTACTGATTGCTGAACGAGGAGGGGGGAGGAATAAGAATAGCCTAAGCCTATTTTTACAAGTGTTTCAAAGTGATCTCATTATTTTGTTTTATTTAAATTTGCTTTATTCATGAATGCAAGAAACTTACGTGTTATTTCTCATTTATGATGTCATGATCAAATATGGCCGCGGCAACTAATCAAGTAATTGCAGGAGCCTTAAGGATCCGCCG